GCTCTCTGTGTTCAGCAACTTTCTGGCTGTAAAGAATTCTGAAATGGTCAACACATCTAGTTATTAGTAACTCAGACTTTAAACTTGATACTGCAGGTGAGTGAAGAAGGTGCTGGAAACTTCCACGAGGAAGGAAATTGCTCAGGTTCAAGTGAATTCTGCAATTTGAGGAGACAGAGGCGAAATTGAGACTCAGGCTGCCCCGAGTCATTATACTCTGAAGGCAACTGCAGAGTTATCTCTGTAGCAACGCAGCCCTGGTTTCAGAAGAGAGAAGAGAAGAGAAGAGAAGAGAGAGAAGAGAAGAGAAATGCTAGAGTTAAGTTTCTGGGATTTTCTGCAAAATGCAAGTCTGCCCCTGAATTAGCAGGCATCCGCATTATGAATGGTGGCCAGTTGGAGAAGGAATTATTGAAGACCTGTAGCTCTCAGATTAGGGAGAATAAATCAGCCAGAATGTTTTTTTTCCTGAAAGGCCTAGAGATAGAAGGACATACACTGTTTACTGTAGCGGCTCATTCACTTCCACCTAGGTCAAAAGGATTACCTAATGGTTCTATTTATTAAGTGCTTATGCCCAAATAAGTATTTTATGTGCTAACAACTCAGTAGGCATTTGAAAAAAATATGTATATTGAAAAAATAATACACATATATTACATAAACATAACAATATGCATGAAAATAATACACGTTGAGAGACACACATATTTATGTTTTTTCTGTTCTTAAATAACTATGATTAAGTAGGTCACTTGAGTTCTTAAATAACTTTCATTCCAGAGAAGAAGGGAATCATGTCACAAGGTGTAGAACACCTGCCCAGCAAGTGTGAAGCACTGAGTTCAAACCCTGGTACTGCCAAAACAAACAAACAAAAAATAGTACCACCAAAAAAAAAAAAATCAATAACTTCCATCCTTGCACAGTTTCTCAGAGTTTGAATTCAGGTTGGACACCTGTCCTCATTCTTCTTCCACATTGCTTTCTACGAGGAACTTGGATCTTTATCATGGAAACTGCTGTAAAGCCAGCTTCACAAAGGTGTAATGTCACTGAAAGCAATGCAGGACCATCTAATATTAAAACTGCAAACTGCCTTGACTGATACTAAACAATACTACATTTCCTTGGAACATTTAAAATATCCACAGCTATTCTGTGAATTCACTGTGGCCCCTTGGAGTGCCCTGGTACGTAATCTGGTAACTGCAGGTTAACTTAATGTCTGGAGTAGGTGGTCTGGTGTCTTGGCAGTGGTATTAGGGATTGGCCCACTGGCAAGTTGCAGCTCATGGTCTCAAATGGTTCCCATAGCATGAGCGCACATTCTTACACAACAGCATGCTGCTGTTGCAAGAAAGGGGTGGAGGGAACTGTAGCCTGCTTTAAATTTCCATCTGGACCTGGTGGTGGATGGCAGAGACACCCAAACGGGGATAAAAATTGGAGGCTATGGTCATATTAACCAGGAAGACTGAGAAGTTTGTCAGCCAAAGAATTCCTTAGAAAGACACTATCTCTCTAGCCTACTGGGATTTGTGGTGGTTTGAGAGGCCAGCATATTTTGTATGGTGACATCAGGTCATGTGAAAGTTCTCAGGTAGTGGAAATGTGTTGTTTTATCTGAATGACCTTCAGTTTTTCTCTAGAGAGCCTGGTTTGGAAGCTATGGACTCCAACCTTGGCGCTAGCGAGGGAGGGGTCTGTCTAGAGGACCAACATCTTGGCTCAGGAATCCAGGAGAATGTGGTACCTGATCTGAGATTTGAATGAGAAGTTGGCCAGGTGGGCGAAAGAGGACTCCAAATAGAACAGCATGAACAGGCAGTGAGGGTGCATGGCTCTTCTGGCAAATTGCCTAGGGCTCATGTGGCAAGAGGTGAATCGGGCGAGCACTGCATGGCTGTTTAAGGCAGTTTGGTTTTGCCCCCAAACTGTGCGAGGCCCATAGCAACCTCCTGCAGAATCTCCACATTTTCTCTTCTTTTATTTGCTGGAAAAGATCTGAGGACCTCAGTGGTCCAAGATGGAAGCAGCCTGGTTCCCTGAGCCAACACTGGTGGAGAACCTGCCACGAACAGTTATGTGAGCAATGAATCAATTTTTATTGTGTGAAGGCATTGAACTTGTTGGGGGCTGGTATTTGTTACAGCAGTTAGCCTACTCTAATCCAACTCATTTAATGGTTACTACTTATTGAGTTCTTGCCCTGCACTGGGTCCTGTGCTATGTGTATTGTCTCACTGCATCCACACAATGAGCCAGTGGAGGTGGGGATCACTGTTACCCCTTTTATAGAAGGGGAAACTGAGTCTTCAGATGAAGGATTTGGATCCCCAAATCCAGTTGCAAGTACTACACTATGACCTGCTGGCTCCCAGTATGAAGGGAATGGCAGTGACAACTGGGTGAGGCAGAGTTGCTATGGCAGCACCAGCGAGGAGTCTCTGCCTATAAAGTGGGGAGAGCACTGATTGAGAGAAGGAAATCCCAGGTGTCCAGTGCAAGGCCTGATGGCCGGTAGGTAGGGCATGTTATATGGAATATCAGTTTGGTTGTTTTAAAGCAAGAAGTAATGATGTAAGCTGGGGAGAAAACAGAGGATTGTTCTGGAAGCCACTGAAAGGGCTTTGTGCAGAGTGAAGGAGACAGGAAGCTGAGAGTTGGATGCCTATCTTATCTTGCTGTTCACAGAGACATGGAAGGAGGTATAAGAAATAGCTTATACAGGATGTGCTGGGACAGGAGGAGGGGGAGATCAGAACTAAAGATAACCAGCAAGAAAGCAGCCCTAAGTCTTCTGAGAGGTGAGGAGGTACAACAGAGGCCTTGTCTCCTGGGCCTCTGGTGACAAGGCCATGAACACAGTGTCCAGCCCTGGTCCAGGGGTAGCCATTCTGTTCTGAAGCAGATACTTTTAATCGACACCATCTAAACCACTGTGAGAAAATTCTTTCAATTCCTTCTGAGTTGGGGGCTAACGAGAAATAGGACTTGTCTCCCAGGGTGGCTGAGTGGGCTGTTATAAGTGGTAGAAATGATCATTAAACTCCTATGTCTCTAAAATTGCTTCTCTGTCTGTCTCCAGACATCCAGACACTCAGATAAAAGCTACAGGACAAAGCAGAATCCTTACTGCTCTTGCTTATTGTTTTACCTTCAGCTGACTGTTAGAACAGCAATGGGCTCAAAGCAGCTATACAAACATTTTTGGAAATATTTCGAGGAAACCTATGCTACCTTCTTTCACCCCTTCCTCTCTTCCTTCCTTCCTCCCATAATTCCATCTATCCATTATCCATCCATCCATCCATCTTAGAAAAGTAGTAGAGTATAGATTAGCTTACAAGGTTTTTCCTTCAAATATTGATAAAATATACATAAGCTAAAATAAAATTAGCCATTTTAACCATTCACATTGTTTTATACCCATGTCTCTGTCTCTTTTTTATTTTTTTTTGCAGACCTGGGATTTGAACACAGGGCCTCACACTTGCTAGGCAGGCGCTCTACAACTTCAGTCATTCTGCCAGCCAGGTTTTTACACACATCTCTATCATTCACTTCCAGAATGTTTCATCTTCCCCAATAAAAACTCAGTACTCTTTAAACACTAGCTTCTCCTCTTTGCTATCCCTCTCCTCCAGGTACTGGGAACCACCATTCCACTTTTTGTGCTTATAAATTTGGCTGTTCTAGGTACCTTACATATGGTGGAATCATAGTGTCCTTTTGTGATAGTCCATGAGTTTTATAATCACATGAGGTGTGTCAACCTTCTTGAGACTTCACATTCTCTTCTGTAAGATGGCTGTAAAAATAGTGCATAGCTCACAGGGTTGTTGTGATGACACATAGAAGGCCCTTGGCCCAGGGCCTAGCATCTGGGAGTGCTCAATAACTATTAGTGAGACCTAACTATATTCTAACTAATGAACACTAGTGTTTACCTGCCACATAATATTGGTGTAGTATTCTAAGTTAAGGGACACTGGTATGGTGTTTACCTTGTATCTAGTACTGTCCTGAGTTCCATATAAATGGACTCTGTGACATCATTTTTATCACTACTATTTACAGAAGGGACAGAGAGGTTAAAAAATATGCTCATGTTCACATGGTTAGTTCACCAGAGAGCTGGGATTTAAATCCAGGCAGCCTGGGCTGGGGGTGGAGTTCAGTGGTAGAGCATGTGTTTAGCATGTAAGGTCCCTAACTGTTTGAGCCCTAGCACCAAAAAAAAAAAAAAAAAAATCAATAAAAGTCCAGGTAGCTTGTTTCCAAAGTCCACAGGCTTTACCACAGCAGACAGTGCCACCTCATCTCAGCTGCCTTGCTCAATGGGTGATTGTTCTTTATATACTTGGTCCTGCATCAGGTGAGTTTTTCCACAACCCTTTGAGTTGTGGCAAAAAATGGAATATAAATTTGCTGTTACTTTGTGTGCTCAGTTCCCACCCGCTGGGGCCCTCCTTGGGACTATGTGCTGATTTTCTTTGGACTTGGGGAGCTGAGGTGCTGGGCCGTCCAACTCCTACTGTGCAGCCCAGATGATGCAACCAGGCCTGTGCCTTTCCCCTCACTGGCATAGAGCCCAGCAATCTTTGACCCCACCCCCCACCCCCCTGCCCAGCCCTGTTGAGATAAAAAAAATTTTCCTCTTCTGGGCCCCAGGGCCACCTCCCTCCTGATTTTACTGCTTCCCTGACACTTTCTGTGACCTTCTGCAGTCCTTTAAAAGGGCAGAGCCTGTAGCGGATCTGTCCCCATCCCAAGTTAAGCCAAGAGTGTGCTGGGAGCAGTTGCAGTGGCCACAGCTGTGCTAAGAGACTTCGCTGATTCTTGACAGATGCCTGGAGAGGTGAGTCTGCTTGGAGCCTTTGGAACCAGCTCAGGGCAATGGGGCTGGGGGTAACTTCAAGGCTGAGGGTTGGGGGCTTCTGTCTGGGCTCTCCCTCTATTTGTGTTTCCTCTGCTTTTCCCTACGGCAGGTACGGATGTGTGACACGGAATTGGGCAGTGGCAAGATGAAGGAGCCCAGCATGGGTGTCAGGAGTCGTGTGTCCTGGTACGAGCGGTTTGTGCAGCCCTGCCTGGTGGAGATGCTGGGCTCTGCCCTGTTCATCTTCATTGGGTGTCTATCAGTCATCCAGAATGGGTCTGACACTGGACTGCTGCAGCCGGCCCTGGCTCACGGGCTGGCCTTGGGGCTCATCATTGCCTCGCTGGGGAACATCAGGTGAGACCAGCTCCAAGCACGCAGCCTGGTGCCTGCCTGGAGCACTGGGGGTGAGGAGGAAAGTGTGGGCAGAGACCCTGGGGACTGACTTGGGAATTTGGGGGACACTGTGGATAAGAGGGTGGGGTGGGGAGTCAGACCTCCTGGGGTCATCTCCCAGCCCTATAACCTACGAGCTTTGTGACTTTGGACAGGTCACTCTCTAAGGCCAAAGTTCCCAGGGAATATTAGTACATTTTTAAACCTATTTTTTCAAGACAACAAATATATTTCAAGACAAGCATGTATATTGCTAACCAGGTACCAGGTTCTATGTTGAGCACTTTTCAGAGAGCAATCATTTAATCTCGTGATAATCTTGTGGGGTTAGATCCTGTGATTGTCCCTGTCTTCCATCTGTGAAAGAGAAAGGCTATGCCATCTGTCCAAGGTTATAGGGCTGGATGGTGGCAGAGCCAGGAGTCAAGTCCAAGCTCTTTGGCTCCAGTGCCTATTCCAAGTGCCTCATGGGGTTTAGGGCACCAGCATTGAATGATATGAAGAGCTTGGTACACATGAAGTGCTTAATTAGTGTTGACTGCTGTTCGTAGGGGGTTAGGGAGAGCAGAGGAGTGCAGAAGGACCCACCTGGGTGGGTTGTTTTCCCACAGGTGTCTGCAGGGGGCTGGGGGAGGGGAAGGGGTGGGGAAGTGGAAACACTCACAGGAGATCCAAGGGTAATGAGACATCCTGCACCGGATCTCCGGCAGAGCAATTTGGGACATGGTTGTTCTGTATTTACTCTCACTCAAAAAATAGGCCAGAGTGAGGAAACTGAATTACTGTTTTTGGGAAAACCAGAGTGGAAATTCTAACATTTTTCTGAATGTCCAAGGAGACTGTGGGTGGAAGGAAGAGAGCTCCTTCCCTTCAGTTGGGTCTGGGGTTGAATGCTACCTTTGTCACTTCTTGGCTGGGTGACCAGGGCAAGTTGCAGAGCCTCTCTGTGTGCACTGGTGTAAATGTGGACAACAACAAGAGCTGACATTGATTGAGTACAGGCTATAGAGACAGTGCTGTGTGCTGTACATGCACTAACAAACTATGTCTTTGCAATCTCTCTCTCCTACTGGTTTGGAGCCTGGCGTCTCAGTCTGACGTGTGGCCACATCTGGAGGGCTGGAGTGACCTCTGAGGAGTATGAAGGAGCACAGGAATGTTTTCCTACACCTTTGTCCTCTAGGGACCCCCTTGGGGTCTGGGCTTAGGGGCTCCTCCTTCCTTCTCTGGCTCCTCCTCTCCCCTCTCCCCACCTCAGGGAAAATGGGAGTGGGGTGGTGCATTTCCAATTGGGTTGGTGCTTGGACTGATCCTGGCCCTGCCAGGCCAGCCAGGGAGACTGGCTAGGACTTATTTTCTCAGGGGACAGCCTGGGGGCTAGCTCTGAATCTTGACCTCACGACTTCCTTCTGCTCTGTGGGTTACAGTGGTGGACACTTTAACCCTGCGGTGTCACTGATGGCCACGTTGGTTGGAGGCCTCAACCTGATGATGCTTTTTCCCTACTGGATCTCCCAGCTGTGCGGGGGCCTGATTGGGGCCGCCTTGGCCAAGGTGGGTGATGGGCAAGGAGGTGGGGTGGGGGCTTCAGCACTGATAGGCTTATTGGAGGGGAGGTGGAGTAGGGTGAGGAATGTCTGACTCTGCTTGTTTCTGCTGGTAGTATTGGTGGCTCTTTACTACTGGGGTTGGGGACACTCCAAGGGTCTCCACACCTAGCCTGTTCCATCCACATTTGGATATAGCCCTTTCTGGACAGACCAGGAGGCAAATCCAGGACTTGGCATTTCTCTTCCTGAGCCCATTTCTGGCTTTGGAATGGAATTGGAAAGTTTTGTTTGTTTTGGAGATAGGGTCTCAGTTCAGACTGGCTTTGAATTCCCTATGTAGGCCAGGCTGGTCTCAAACTCATGATCCTCCTGCCTCAGCCTCCCACATTTCTTTCTTTCTTTTTTTTTTTTTTTTTGAGGGAGTGGGATTTGAGCTCAGGACTTCACTCTTGCAAAGCAGGTGCTCTACTGCTTGAGCCACACCTCCAGTCCATTTCGTTCTGATTATTTTGGAGATGGGGGTCTCATGAACTATATGCCTGGGCTGGCCTTGAACTGTAATTCTCCTGATCTCAGCTTCCTATGTATGATTACAGGTGTGGGCACCAGTGCCCAGTCATTCTTCACTTACTTACTCACCTCACTTGTTCACTCATCCTATGAGTATCTCACAAAGCACTGATGGGATCCAGTTATTCCTGAGAAACTCCCGAGTTACCTCCCCTGTGTGTTCATCAGTTTGCCCGCCTTTAAACTGAGTTGCCCTCCATAGGAGTTGGTACTCAAGTTACATTTAAAATCCTCCTATCCAACCAAGTTCTTCCTGTTAGCTGCAGATTGTGTGTGTCTGGGTCCGGGGGACGGTGGGGGTAGTCCTGGGGATGGGAACCTGGAGCTTTTAGCATGCTAGGCAAGCATTCTGCTACTGAACTCCATTCCCAGCCTAAGACAGATTTTTATGTCTTCATGGACTCCCTCCCTCCCGTGCTCCTCCCCTTCCTCCTCCTCCTTTACCCTCCCGCCCCCTTCCCTCTCCCTCAGTTAGTGCTGTGCTAACTGGAGGCTAATTTTCTCTGTAGGTCATTCAGCTTGAGCTCCTTACATGGGCCCCTTCCCAGGTCCTACAGGGGCCTAGCAATGCATTTGCCTGGTCAAATGTGTTTCTAAAGTGTGTAGGGCATGGTATTTTTGGATTCTTTTTCTCAAAGAGCATTGTCTCATCTATGAGACATAAGCTTCAGACCCGTTAAGCCTGAAGCTGCCACTTTTTCCAGATGAGCAAAGTGAGGCTCAGAGAGGTCCTTTATCTCCCACAGAGTATCACAGTAAATGCTGGCGGGCCCAGATAAGTCTATCTGCAGCCCGGCCCTCACCGAGGGCAGACCTGCACTTTTAGGCCCCTTCCACCCAGATCCCAGATTCTCTCTGTTCTTTGGGAGGCTGATCAGCTTGGATTCTTTCCACAGGCAGTGAGTCCTGAGGAGAGGTTCTGGAATGCGACCGGGGCCGCCTTTGCGACTGTCCAAGAGCAGGGGCAGGTTGCAGGGGCGCTGGGGGCAGAGATCATCCTGACAACATTGTTGGTACTGGCCGTGGGCATGGGCGCCATCAATGAGAAGACACGGGGTACTCTGGCCCCATTCTCCATCGGCTTCTCTGTCACTGTGGATATCCTGGCAGGGTAAGTGTCCTCTCCACGCCCAGATCTGGGCCAAGGCTCAGCTCCAGAGTGGAATTTGGATAGCTTTATTTGTCTGTTTGTATTGGAGGTAGGGTCTCAGTTCAAGGAACTCACAGCTCAGTGGCTAAGTAGGACTAGAAAAGTGCTGCGGGGGTTATGGTGGGCTGGCTTTGGGCTGGCAACAGGGAGAGGTGGGGAGTGTGGTATTGGGAGATGCTAGCCCATTGTGTCTGTGTGAGGAGTGTGGGTCTGGGGTGACTCTTCTCACTTCATTCAAGTCAGAAATCTTGGTTTTTATGTGGTTTCCAGTTTTTGTAGTCTGTAAACCATCCCTACAGATGATAGTCACAGACTTAGAAGAGCATGCATATCCATTGATCCTCTTGGTAGTCTTGGGGAGAGAGTAAGGAGGAAAAGCTGGGTTGGGGATTATTTCTCCCATTTTACAGATAAGGAAAATGGGGCTAAGGGAAGACAGAAGTGACTTAAGGTCTTTGGGCAGTGGCAAATAAGGTGACAGACATAGGGTAAGCACCCACTTCTGTTGAAGGCAACAAGGGGGCTCCCTTCTAGTGTCGAACTCCTTCCTTTCCTTTTGGCCCAGAACCAAGTCTAGCTTTTCCCTGGGGTCAAGTCTCTCACCTTTTGGGAGGTACAGTCTAGCCTGGACTGGGGTTAGGGGTGGGAGGGGATGCCAGTATCCCTGTGGCAAAGCTTTGCTGCCCCCTAGTGGCAAGTGGTGCATTTACTAGCCTGCTGAATCACCCCTTTGGCCACTGGTCACCCATAGGATGAGGCCTTTAGGACCACAACCTCAGGGCATGGGATAAGGCTACAGACACCAGAGCTAGAATGGCACCTGGGAACAGTCCCCTTATGGGATAGTCTAGGCCACAAGTTTGTGGTGCAAAAGAGCCTCATCTAGGTCGGCTAGATTCTAGTTAATATTCGTTGCACATTAACTGTGTGTGAGATGTGGGCTCTGTACATTTTTCATTCACTCTGGTCCACAACCCATGGTTTGGGTACTTTCATCCCAGTGGAAAAATAGAGGTTAAACAAAGGTTACAGAGCCAAAACTGCCAGGGCTGGGCTTTGAAAGTGGGTCAGCTTGACTCCAGAGTGTGACACTGCTAGACTTTGTTTTATAGGCTTTTCTCTTCCTGCTGTCACTTACTGAGCAGGTGTCCTTTTTGGTCATTGTGTAAGGGTATGTGGGGAATGAAGACTGTATGTCCAAGAAGGAGCCATGCCCTCTTCACCTCTGGGATCCACCCAGGAGCTCCTCATATAGAAGTTTAGAGAAGGTTTTTGGATGGGACCTAGGACCAGTTGGGGATGTAGGCTGGAAGCAAGGTGGGGCCTGGCTGGGACTCTATGACCATGTACCTGTTTGCAGGGGTATGGTCTCTGGAGCATGCATGAACCCTGCTCGTGCCTTTGGACCTGCTGTGATGGCTGGCCACTGGGACTTCCACTGGATCTACTGGCTAGGCCCACTCCTGGCTGGCCTGCTTGTAGGACTGCTTATTAGGTAGGAGTATGACATGAGGTTCTTGGTGACATCTTTCCAAGAGGCCAGGGCTGGAGGGCTGGGTTTGGAGGAGGATAAAGGGAAAGAATTGGGCTGTCTCTAGGACCTTTGCTTGCAAAGGACAGAAGTCCACCTCCTATGGGGGAATTCATTGGCTTCTGCAATTGAGAAATAGCAGGTGGTACTGAACCCATTCATCACTGAGGTCAAGGGGGGTGGAAATCTTACTGGCTATGCCCTGGAGCAGGGCCTGAGGTCAGCTTTCCTGAACAGAGGAATATTTTCCCATGGGACTGTTAAACAATCACAGGGCCCACCCACATGGGAAAGTCACAGACATGGTGCCCCCAGATGCCATGCACATAAAGTACAGGGGGCACAGTGCTCCCCAGGATTGTGCAAGGGATAACAAGGTTGACATCCTCAGAAGGATTCCAGGCAGAAAGCACTAGAATCTCTTTCCATTCTGCTTTATCATTCCTCCTGGGGCTCTCTCCTTATCCTGCACCTTCTGCTCCGGGTGGTGCAGCCACCTTAGTTCAAGCTGGGCCACCATGCACCTGTCTGGGAGGGAAAAGGCACTGAGATGGGCCCATCTAGATTTGTTTACCATTGGTCACCACAGCCCAGGGCCTCAGAACCAGTCCGTGGCTTAGTGGGGAAGCGTGATTTTCTGCCTGGTGCCTTCAGAATGAATGCAGTGAGCATCTTCAATGAAGGGGCTGGAAATCAAAGAGGAAACAGCATCTCCCTCCACCTATGTGGACTACTGAGTCTGGAGAGGCTCAGGAGTCACCTCTCTGGAAAATTCTGGGCCTGGAGACCTCTGGTAAAGGCTGAGCCTTTCCTCCAGAGGCCCAAGACCTCATGGGGCCATCTTTTTTGTAGGTTCTTCATTGGAGATGGGAAAACCCGCCTAATCCTGAAGGGCCGATGAAGCATTGCTGGTGGAGTCCCCACTGCTTGGGTGCCCTCAACTGCCCAGTCCTGGCCTGAGGACAGGACAGCTTCTACACCTCCTGTGGGGCAGAGCCCAGGGGAGCCACTGGTGGGCCTGGCTTCTCAGATAGCCAGCATGTTGCTAAGTCCCAAGGACACTCCAGATTCTCAAATTCCTGTAGGCTTGTAAGGACACCTCTGCCTGGGGAATGTGTGGCCAGCACTGGTCAGAGAAAGATGGAGACAGCACATTAAAAGAACTTTTCTTGAGAGGGAAGGTCCCAGGAGAGAAAAACAGGTGGAAGAAGTGGCTGTTGATGTTTATCAGCTCATTCCCCTTCTTTTCTTTCTTTTTATTTTCAGTGCTGGGCCTCACATGCTGGGCAAGTGCTCTACCACTAAGCTGCACTCCCAGCCCTCCCACCTCCTTCGTTTTTCCTTCAATTCTTCCTTTATTTCTCTGTTATAGAGGGCCCTATGGAGCCTGACCACTTTCTTGCTTCCCAAGCTGCCAATCTTACTTTGCAGTAAATAGTGTTTCCTTTCCTATGTCCTTTGTCTTGCCTTTCATTTGAGAAATTGGGCACTGTTGGGGAGGAAGTACAAGTCTGGGGTGGGGACTTAGTTGTCCAGAGTTTGGCTAAGCCTAGGAGAACCTGGCTTCCAGGACTGATGTAGGTACTTGTAGTGTAGTCCAACTCAGAGCCTGTCTCCACTCAGCCAGTCCCACCTTGGAGCTCAACCTGAAGCTCTGAGTCCATTTGAACTCTAAGTCACGAGTCAATTCCAGACCACAGACTTCAGAACCCTATTGGAAGCCCTACACAGAGTCCAGGACCTGGCTGAGTGCCCAGTATTGTCTGGGATATGGATCAGTCCATGCATTGCATCCAGCTGGGATGATGGTGGGGGTGGGGAAAACCTGGAAGAACTTCCCTTGCAAGGAGAATTCTGAGCAAGTCATATAGCTAAGGCCTGAAGAGACAGCAGCATGTAAGTGGGAGATATGATTAGAATGAATAAGCAGGGATTAAAAAAAGACAAAATTTGAACTTCACACATTCCAAGTAGACTGTAGTCTCTGTAAGAATTTATTGGTCATTTATGAAAGAGGATCTTTATGATACCATAAAGAAGAGCTAGGAAGGCTTGGCATGGTGACTCAAGCCTGTAATCCTAGCTACTCTGGAGGCACAGACTGGAAGGATCTTGGTTCTAGGCCAGCCCAGAGAAAAAGTTTACAAGAGCCCATCTCAATCAATGGTTGAATGTGATGGTGCGTGCCTGTCATCCCAGCTAAGTGGGGAAGCACAAATAGGGAGATCATGGTCCAGGCCAGCCAGGGCATAAAGCGAGACTCTATCTAAAAAATAATGCAAAAAAGGCTTTCAGGGGGCTTAAGTGGTGGAGAACCTGCCCAGCGAGCTGAGTTCGACCCCCAGGACTTTAAAAACAAAAAGTACCAAGAAAAACCATTCTCAATCAACAAAAAAATCCTCACCGTTTCTACAAGATGAGGAAACACTCACCTGACTAAAAATGAAGAAACGCTCACTGGAAAAAATTATCAATATAATAAGAGACAGCTCATAGACATAGACACACACACACACACTTACAAACACTCACACCCACACTCACATACACTCATGAATATCCAAACATCCAAAATTCTCATAGAGAAAGGTTATAACAAATCAGAATAACAATAACTGTAAAGAAAAAGGGAGGAAATAATATAACTAGAAGACTTTTAAGAGTAACAAGTGGTAAAAGCTAGTACTTCATTTGGTGAAATAAAACCTTTGACAAATGTAATAAATAAGGAGTTATATATACTGTATATACACACAAATGCATGAAGTAAATAGCCAATAATTGCTGTTTATTCTGTGTTAGGCACTGTGTTGAATGCGCTACATACATGTGCCATTTCCCCCCTCTCCCACAGCAATCCTCTGCAGTAGCGTACAGGGTTGAACAGGGTCCCCCCAAATCCATGTCCACCTGGAACTTCAGAATGCTACTTTATTTGGCAATAGAGCCTTTACAGATATCAGTAAGGTAAGCATTGAGATGAAGTAGTACTGGATTAGGATGGCCTAAATCGAAACAGAAAATGACATAATTCCACCCAAAGAGGAGGGAGAGTGACAGAAAAACATGTAAACTTCTAAACTGCAACTGGGCTTCAAGATCTGGTCTTCGTTTCAATTTCCAGACTGTACGCTCCCAAGAGAAAGATGTATACAAATTCATCCTTGTCACTTTACAGTATGGGGCTTAGTGCTTGCTGGCAAGTACCCATTGAAAAATAGCACTTTAAGCCACAAACTCTCACAGTTCTGGAGATCAGAAGTTTGAATTCGAGGGATGGGTTCCCTCTAATGGCCCTGCAAGAAAGTCCTTCCTTACGTCCTGGTGGCTCCTTGTGCTGGCTTGTGACGGTATGACACAATCTCTGCCCTTGTTTTCATGTGGCATTCTTAAGAACTCTGTATGTGTCATTTTCTGTCTTTTTAAGGGCACTGTCATTGGATTTAGGCTACCCTAATCCAGTATGACCTCATTTTGATGCTAACCTTAATGACATCTACAAAGACCCTAGTTCTAAATAAGGTCACATCCCAAGGTTCCAGGTGGACATGAATTTTGGGGGACACTAATCCCAGTGACTCCTAAATTCATTCTGTCCTTTAGAGTCATATCCAAAATTTCCCTGGATCACCCAAGTTCACTTCTTCTCTACCTCCCTTTCCTTAGTAACAAGAGGTCACAGTTTTAGGTGTTAGAGCTAGAAATACTATTGTAGTTGTGCAATATTGTGTGGCTACAAGGCTGGACTCTGAGAAAGCTCGAAGGTTAAATCTCACATTGGTGACCTTTTTGTTGTACACGAAGAAGTGATTTCGCTTCTCTCAGCCTTAGCCTTTTCATCTCTACAATGGAAATATTGCCTCAGAATCTTGTGAGAAGCAGCGTGTTTGTGAAGCATTAACAGGGTGCCTAGTACATGGGAAATGCACCATGTGTTAGCATCTAATCAAAGGTTTTGAAATTTGCAGGTGTCATCATTGGGGAGGAGTTTTCACCCTAAGTTTCTAAATGCACTTGGCACACAGGTATTTTCTCAGCCAACCATTCTCAGATAAGGGTCTTTTTAGGTTTCTCATGGGGAAAATGTTGAGAACCACTCATCCAAATCCAGACAGGCTAAATAATTTAACTTCTATCTACTGGAAGAGCTCAGTCCTAGAACTGAGGATTTTGGACACAAAGTCTTAGGTTCCTTTTACTGCAACAGGCACGTACTCACTGCTCCAGTGGGTATAAGTACTGATTCATTGCTTTGGGCCAGAATTGTCTTGACTCCTCACAGGCTATGTCATTGGGCATGCTAGTGGTATACTTCCCATCTCTCCTGCACAATACTGTCCAGGAATGCTAGGGGTTCAAGCAACCACAAAGGGAAGTGTGCTAATCTTCTACTCTTGGTTGGAAGTGTGTTAAATTTTACCTGAGCCTGCAGGTGCTGCTATTCTGCTCTTGCCACATAGTGCGACTGGTAGTAGTAGTTCTCAGAGACCACAAGGGTTCTAACTAAGTCACCTTTGTCTAGGCAGGAGTGGTGTTTTGGAAGTGGGTTCCTTTACTGATAATTCTAGCCTTCTATGTCAGCACACCTGCAAGCTTCACAGGCTCTCTGCCAATGTGCTCAAGCGACCCTCCTCTCCCCTTGGAACACCCCTACATTCTACACACATATATATATACACACCACCACAATTTCCCTCAGAGTGGGTTTAGGAATTTGCCTGTCTTGGAACCCAAAGCCATTTGCTCCCTCTCCCTGGATCCATCATGGAACTTGGTGGTTTGTGGTTAGCTGTTCTTGTTTGTGCTGGAAACACAAGGTATCCTTTCTTCTTCCTTAAAGTCTAATTGCCTCAACAGATTTACAGGAACTGAAAATTTGTAGCCCTAGAGATTTTTTTCCCCTTAGAAATTTAAAGTCTCTCATCCAATTGTAGATCAGAATCAGCTTACAGACTTAACTCTGAAAAAAGGGAAGATCAGGTAACTTGTGGAAGAACTCTGGCACAACAATGCATGTGGCTGTTATGAGCTTCTGTCTTGACTTTCTCTAACAGCTGTCATTGTTTACTGAAGAAAGATACAGAAAAACTGTAAGGACTCATGTAGATACGGATGGTCTGCAGACAGTGACTGTGTAGGTCCTTGGGTATACTGCATAAAGTAGAGGCTTATAAAGCCCATGTGATAGAAACCCATCTAGAATATACTTAATGTTTAGGTTAACTGGCTCTCTTGAGTCCACCCTATAGCTCCTCCTACAGCTCCTTGGGAGTACAGCTGGAAATACATCTTCAGCAAATGGCAGTCTTTACATTGAATCTGTGGTGCATGGAGTTGGGATTGTCATGGTAAGAATGGCTACATGGAAGCCTCTGGGACTTTTTCTTTATACTGAAATAGGGAATCAAAAGCAATACTGTGAAGGATGACAGAATATGTCACCCCCAAATATGACCTTTGGCATAGGATATTTTGAGTTAAAGGCACTTGAAAAACAGCAGATGCAAGAATGGCACTAAGACTTCCCTTTTTTTCCTGAGAGCAGGAGATGAAACTCCCATGTGAAAGATGTTCTCTTTGTACCAGAAGGAAAGAGACATTCTTATTATCAGAAATGGACAGTTGAGACTGAGAGAATTTGGTATAGACCTTGTTAAAATAAATCTTATCTTCCTTTGGTCTTCCTATGCATTTTACTTACTTTCCCACAACTGCCTCTCTGTTCAATTAGTAGATTAAGTACTTAGGTCTTGCTGCTTCTTTAGGTCTCCAATTCTTGTGGGGACTCCCATGTACACACAAAAATCTGTTTGCTTTCTCTGTTATCTGTTTTGTTAGTTTAATTCTCAGGTCTAGCCAGAGCCCCAAGAGAGTAGAGTTTGCATCTTTGGGGAAAGTGTCAAGATTTCTTTCCCCATTAGGTGGTGTGTGTGTGTGTACAGCTGCCTCATCAGAAACACATGTAATATGCATGTCCAATACAAAATCTACACTGGCAGTAGAGTCGACCATTACTTGGGACAATGGCAGTGACAAGTCAGAGGAGGCTGTATAGGAACAGCTGTGGAGTCTTGACAGGCCTTCCACACTAGTTGTGGGGGACAGCTGTGAACTGGCATGAGACCAAAGTTCTCTTTTCACTAACTACTAGGATTAGCTTTTATTCTCTGAAATTTTCTTTTCCCTTAATAGACATTCTTCAAATTACAGCAGAACCAAGGGGATTCATTTATTGTAGACATTATTTCACATACAGGTTTTCAAGAAGACAGCTAAGTGAACATTAATACAAAATGATGGGTAGACATCCACTTGTACTGGTCTTGGAATGCATTCAGGCAGAAGAAAAGGCTTATTATAGTCACCAAGACACTTTTTCCATTTGGGGCTTCTTCAGCTCCCTCATCAAGTCTTGTTTGTCACTGGGCATCAGGCTTCACACAAGATTTTCTTTGCTTCAGCTACCTGCCTTTGCCTATCGGGGTGTCTGAGGAGGCTGCCTGTTCCTGCACAGGAGTGACATGTCCTTTCTCCTTACTGAGCAAGCTCCTGAACTGGCTTTGCTGACTCAATGTCCTTTCCCTGAAGTGCAAGGTGGATTTGTACTTTTTACTAGCTACTAGGATTAGCTTTTAATCCAGAGACTGTGTGCAGTGGGTTGCCAGGTTGGAGCCTGGTTTACAAACTTCCTCATCTCTACCACACTCGATAGCCTCATAAATATGAGTGCCCAAGTAGGCTTGGCACTCAAGTTCAACTTTTCAAAAAGACAAAAGCTGTGATTTGTTAAACAACACTCAGTAAGAGGTAATGACAAGACTAAAACTTGTTTCTTTTGGCTTCTGGTCTAATGCTCATTCTACAGTGACAGACTGCCCTGAGCTGTTTTAAGTATATGTGTGTATGAAGTTTTCTTTAAAAAAAAACTAAGATCTTTTCCAGAGTAATAAAATTATCAGCAAGAATTAAGATGTATTTGTGGGAGTCAATGCAAGCCTAGGCAGAAATACAAACCTAGTTTCTAAAACGCTTCAGATAAGATGCTAGAGAACAAAATGTCTATTTGCTTACACCAATAAAAAAAAAAATCAGGATTTGTGACAATTTCCAAAGTAAGAGGACGCAATTACATAAATATAGGGTTAGGTAGTTGGTTGAGGTGGGCTGTTTTGTTGAGCTTTTCAATAGCCAAACAAAGAGGGAAAAGCAGTAAGTTATAAAAATCACAGTGTTCATAAGATAAAAACCTGTTTTTTTCCACCTTAGGATCAGATCATTCTCTGGTAATAAGACCTAGAAAATACCTTTTCCCATTGATCTATCTTTATAATCTGCATAAAGGCAATGTTATAAAGACACATTAATCAGAACATTATTCATTTTAATGAATTATGAGACATTTCATGCCTAAGCTGAAAAATGATAAAATGTAGGGAAACAAGTCTAAATTGGTGGTAAGACTTCCTATTTCTTCAGAAAAGCCAGGTCCATTAAAGCAGGTCCATTAAATTAATAGTCATTACAAAGGCCCATTTAAAATTGGGAGTATAGGCAGGGGGCCCAAATTCCACTTTGGCTTGGTCCCAGACATAGTAGAGAAGAGAGAATAGGCCTTGAACCTTTCCTGCACTGGGTAAAAGTTTGAGAGAGAGAGAGAGAGAGAGAGAGAGAGAGAGAGAGAGAGAGAGAGAGAGAGAGAGAGTTATCAGCTATGGTTTTAGATTTGCAACTTAGAGAAACTCTTCAGCAAGTGAAGGGGATTTCCTCCAGACTGAGTTACTGATCTTTTGTAATTGACAGGGATGTGACTGGCATTACTGGCTGTATACTTCCTCTACCATTTTAAAAGTTGCATGAGTACAGGTGCCATGCCCCCATTCTTATTTTTGTATCCCTCACCACAGCTAGAACATGGTCTTACACATAAAAGTGCTTAGTAAATGTTTATGAAAAAGTCATTTACTTTCCTGAATCCATATAATTATCAATCCTGTGCATGTACTACTAAGTGGTGATTTATATTAATGTGCATCTTCTCCAGAACTGGAATTCTAGAACATCTGTACAACATAAGCATAAACCTACCAGCACCATATACATCTTACTGTGCTAGGCACAAAACTAACAGGAAACTATATGCACCATTAGAAGTCTCTAATTTGGACACTACAGAGGAAATCAACTATTGAGATGTGAACAATAAAAACATTTCCAACAAATGTAAATCAGAAAAATTGACCAATGTTTACCTGAGTTACCTGCCTTTCAACAGGCCAAACCCTATTCTGACATTGTAAACTGAATTTTTTCTACAGTGTTTACTCTTCTTGTTACTTTACTGAACAGGCTTCAAAAGATTCAAAAATAGTCAAAGAAAAAGCACTACATCTAGCCATCTTCAAACAAGAGAGTATTTGACAAAGGAGGGGAGAAAGAAGACAAAAAGAATAATCTATACACAGCTTTGACTCTGGTATCATTTCAGTAAACTTGTGACTTCTCCTTCCTCAAGGCAAAGCTACCCTTGGTCATCTATGTATTATGGTATAAATGCCACTGACCTCATCCGGAAGTGACTGGCTTTGGAAGATCACATTTCTGGATTCCATCTCTAATTTCACACATGAATTATCTATTCCCTCATCCAAACTTTTCTGGGTTAGTGCAAGGAGATTAGCAGAGTTATTTCAGATAAACAGATAAAAGGAGAAAGCAAAATTGGTTTTATGGATTGGAAGTTTCTATAAATATTTCGACTTTCACTCAGCAAGCTGTAGAGCTGTATAATTTGGGCTCTACAGTTAGGCTTATGATACTCTGAACAGGGACTAGAAGCCTCGAAGCAGACACTCCATATTAATAGCCAGCCTTGTTTGTTTGGACTGAGGTGGTCTGGATCTAAAGCAGGCCTAAGGAGTCCACTGAAGATTTCAAGTCTTCATCTCATTCTTTCCTATTCTCTTAAATTTTAGAGACACCATTATATAATATACTGAAATATAATGGGGTGAAGGTGGGAGGAATAAAATATGCTAACATACCTAAGACATATTCCAGATCAGAGCCAGAGATGTTATAGGGCAGGAACTAAAATATGTCTGAAATGTTACTTTATTTTAATGAGACACCATGAGCATGCATCCTAGTCCATCTGCACAGGGCATGGTAGTCCAGAAGAGTCAGAGAAGAATACCTAGAACAATTAAGATTTAAGTGTAGCATTTATGAGAAACAGCAAAAGGAGCTGGGATTACTTGTAGATGAAGCCACCATGGGATTTAAGTCCTTTAGGTACAGAAAAGGATGATGGCCAACTGCTTCTCTTGCAACATGACACTGCAACATGACTTCAGTGACAACACAGGGATTCTACCCTAGGTATAGATTAACTTCTTGACACAAAGACTTTTGAAGGAAATTCTAAAAAATGTTCACCTTCCTTTTGAGAATGTTTTCAAAACCAAGACAGATCTGATGCAGTTCTGATCAGACTCTTTAAAGTTCTACTTGAATGTGAAAATCCATTATCAAATTACATCCAGGATCTTGTGTAGCAGATAACCACAACCAAGCCCTTCAGCATTCATCTGGACAGCAACTATCACTCACAGGAATGGATCTTGAATGCTGCTGGCCTCAGCAATCCATCAGCAGTGGCCTTATCATACTGAAGAGCATTTTAATCTGAACTCAGACCATACCTATTCTTCACTTTATTAAAGGAGGAGTTGAGACATACAGGAGATGAACAGACTCATTAAGTTAGAGGCAGAGATGAGAACAGGGTCAAAGTCTAGTTTACTTACATTCTCAGGTTTGTCCTGGGAACTATACTTTTTAGCTAAGAAAAGACTGCTTTCAAGAGTGAAGTTAGGGTTAGGTGGCTGGAGGGGTGTGTAGGAAGAGAAGAGCTTATCATCAACAAGTTTTCCTGAACTCATCACTCTTCCCCTTAAGTAAATTCTCTGGGGAATACATAGAAGTAGGGTGTGGGAAAAGCTTTTCTTTCACATGAACTTCCCGATGTTTGGTGAGGACAGAACTCTTACTGAAGCGTTTGCCACACTGGGCACAACCATAGGGTTTCTCTCCAGTATGCATTCGCCGGTGCTCTCGAAATCTTGTGCAGTTATTGAAACTCTTCTCACAGTCTCCACATTTGTAGGGATTCTCTCCAGTGTGTACTCTGCGGTGGGCACTGAAATGAGAACTATTGGTGAAGCTTTTCCCACACTCTCCACACTGATAGGGCTTCTCTCCAGTGTGGGTTCTCTGATGGATGATAAGACTAGAGCTCTGACTGAAGCATTTCCCACATTCTCCACATCTGTACGGCTTCTCTCCTGTGTGGATTCTCTGGTGGGCTCCAAAATTTGAAGAGTCATTAAAGCTTTTCCCACAGTCAAGGCATTTGAAAGGCTTTTCCCCTGTGTGGATTCTTTGGTGTCTGATTAGGCTCCTGCTTCTACCAAAGCACTTCCCGCAGACACTACACTTAAAAGGATTCTCCTTCTGGTGGGTCATCCGGCACATAAGACGGGAACTCTTTCCAAAGCTTTCTCCATACTTGAGAAGTCTGTAGGGTCTCTTCCCCATGAAAGGTCTCTGATGCATAATAGCTCTCCCTAAATCTCTAGGCTGACACATCAATTTTCCTTGTCTAATTCCTTGAAGGTTTTCCCATTGTCTTCCTGAGATGTATTCTTTTTTGCAATATTTACTGGGATCAATATTCTGGGAAACAACTCTTCTGGGCCTTCCTAGTAATACTCTATGTGGTTCTGTGTCTTTATATATTACTTGTGTTGTGTCCTCCTTAATATTACTTCCAATTTCAAAATCTGGGGGGAAAAGACAATGCAAATTTCATTAACATAAATAACTAACATGGCCTGCAAAGTTTGGCATATTATGATCCTACTACACTTTACAGACAGAAGATCCTGTAATCCTTCTCTGATTCATTATGCTGTATCCTCTTTCAGCTCTATAAACAGGCCAATAACGCTCAGCATGGAGAACTTCAGAAATATTTTTTGAATTGAATTTTAATTTGAGCCATCACTCCCCATCCGTATCTGATTAATACAGAAGCAACCTGGCTTATCTCCCTGAAGTTCTAATTTATCCTGTTTTCATTATTTTGCATCTATACTAAAACATAGTATAGTACAGTATACTATTAAAGACCAGTCTTCAGAGTGGATTTTATTGACCAAGTCCAAATTCCTCAAGGGACCTCTAAATTCATGAATAGCTAATCATGTCCTATCCAAGAGTATTTCTTTCTTCTCATATGTTCTTGTTGCTTTGTTTTTTTTTTTTTGCTGTTCCATCCCACAGAACACACTAACTCAAATTATAATTTTCACTGTTTCCAAAAGTTGGAATTATCTTCTTCTTACTCTTTCATGTACATTTCACATTCACCACAAGCTACATCTTGGATCCAGCTTTTCCCTGGAGTTTTTTTTTGGATAAAGAACATGACATGGTAAAGAGACACAAGCTTTGGAATTACACAGCCCTGGTTCTGACCTCATATTGGTCACTTATTATTTCTGCATTGACTTTTAAGCACGGGAAATTCAAAACACACAGTAACATAGTGTGGGACGTGTAATGACCTCCCACGAACCTCTTCCCTAGCTTTAACAATGATCTACTCATGGCCAATCCATTTCCTCTCTATATCCACACATTCCCTGTTCCCTTCATGCAGACTACTTTGATACAAAAGGTAGAAGACGTATTAAATCATCCATAAGTGTTTCACAAGCTGTGGAAGTTATGCCCAATCCAGGTTTGTTTGATTCCCAAATCCTTGTTTTGCTTTTTAAATTAACTTTGTTTTGTTTGTTTGAGGTACTGGAGTTTTGCATTCATGGCTCATACTTGCTTGGCAAGTACTCTTATCACTGAGCTACAACCCAACCCAAACCCTGTTTTTTTTTGTGGTTTTGGGGCTTGAACTCAGGGCCTACACCTTGAACTACTCCACCAGCCCATTTTTGTGATGGGTTTTTTTCAAGATAGGGACTTGTGAACTATTTGCCTGGGTTGGCTTGGACCTCGATCCTCCTATCTCTGCCTCCTGAGTTGCTAGGATTACAGGTGCGAGCCACCAGCACCCCGCCAAAACCCTTGTTCTTAAGCATGTGCTTACTTGTAGGTTTCAACATTACTTTCTTTTCACATAAGTGGGATAGTTGTGGCATGGGTGGGGAGAAAAGGGAAGTGGTAATCACTTAATGAAAAAGTTCTAGCAATGCCACTGCTCACACAGCAGTCCTTTTGAGCTTTTCTCACTGAATCTAACATTGATCTGGGATTTGGAGGAAGTCACAACCCAGTAATAGACCATGAAAATTTGATGGTTAAGTCTGCCGGTTACCTTAAGATTTGCAAGGACTATTTCCAGGGTTATTAAAATCAGTTATGTAGGACTTAACTTTTGTACTATAATTTCTCATATAAACACTACCAGCATATGAAGCATTCCCTTCTCTGATGTAACTGGACATTACTTTCTCATGCTGGGGCTCAGCACCACCCTCAATTCAGAAAGAATTTACTACTTCTTCAAGAAATCAGTTCAGCACTAACTCCTATATCCTGATGTATCCTGAGGCAACAGAAAGACAGCTCCCATCCTTCAAGAACTCATCACTTACCAGGAGGACTTAGGACATGAAAAGCATTTGATGTTGTAAGACAAAATATGGGAGTTGAGAGAATTTTGACATGGAGGTATGTAGAGTCAAGGACATACAAGGTACAGGGAAGAGCACAAGTTAAGGTTTAGATATGAAGGAGCTTAAGGAGCATTCAAGAAATAGCTATGAAACTACTTGTTCCAAATAACCACAGAGTTTAGAAAGAAAATAGTAAGATGTAGGGCCTGAAAAATAAGATGAGCTCAGATTAATTAAGGTTTTGGCTGCAAAACCTTAAAGTGTTGATGAGGAAATCTTGTTTGGAGACTTTGATGATCATCTAGGCAAGAAATAAAGATTGAATAGGTAGTGGCTATAGCAACTGAAGAGGGGATAGGCAAATGTGGTAGTCTATGGCAGTTGACAAATTATGTCATCTGCCTGAATGTAAATGCTGAGAGAGGAGGCATTAAAATTATCTCTTACAGTTTTGAATCTAGATGAGCTGTGGAAGAAAAATCATTGGGTAGGAAGAAAGATGGTGATTTTACTTTAACAGTGTAAGTCTGAATTGCTGATGAAATGTCCAGGAGGGCATCCAGCAGTTAGTGGAGCTCAGTACCAGAATACAGATTCCCTTATTTTGTCTCTATTTTTTTTTCTCATGCATGTCACACATAACTATAAGATGCTTCTGATTTGATCTTATTGATACACCTCCTTCACCCAAGTTTTTTTCTCAAACAGAATTCCAGGTTCCTCCCTACAGTATTTTCAGGAGATACAAAACAATGTATGACCCATAGAGATGAAAACCAAGACTGAGATGCTCAAGACTGAGTCACTAGAATGTGAATGAGCTCCTTTTGAATGGAAGCACTGTGAGAACAGGAGCTGTTTCATTTATTGCTACTTTACTTCCCCTGATCTTCACAGAACATGGCACTCAAATATCTGTTGATTAAAAAGTATGAGGCATACACCAGATCCACTGACTTTTTAGTAAGTTACACTTTCTCCTCTATTACACTAATGAAGCTTAATAAAGCTTACCATTTGGACCCTGCAGCAGACCTGGAGGGCCTTGGAACTCTGGCTCTTGTACAATTTCCTCCTCACTTATTCTCTCACTGCCAGAATCTTCTATTACTGCCTCCTGCAAACTCTCCTCAGGTTCCCAGCCTGTAAGTTCCTGGGGTTCAACCTCAATATGTCTTCTTTCTTGCCTTGGGGGTGGTGATATTTCCTCTGGAGTGTTGGTGGAAGGGGCAGATCCTCTAGAGTTAATTAGGGCATCCATCTCCTTGTAAAATGTGCAGGTCTCTAGCACATGGCCATTCTTTACTTTGCGGTAACTCTTCTGAAGGCTTTTGAACTTGGTTCGGCACTGTTCTGGAGTCCGGAGGAAGCCACACTCTCGAAGTTGTTCAGCCACAGCCCCGTACAATTTGCTCTTCCTATGACAGGCTTGAAGTGCTTCATAAAACCGAGTCTCATGAAGAATATCAAGAAACGTCTTGGTTTCTTCATAGCCCCAATGGACACCTGTCATTCAAGGATAAAGTTCAAAGATATAAGAAGAGGAGTCTGGAGCATCTATACGATATACATAACAAAACGTAAGGGTAAAAACTCTATTCATAGTACCAACAGTGAAATGAGAAGGTCTCTATTTTAAAATCTACAATATTTTATCGAAAGACAAAAAAACTAGAAAAAAAAAGTGAAACGTGTCTTTCTGGATTAGAAGACACAAACTGTACAGACATCAATTCTCAAATGAATCAATAACAGCTAAATCCTAATGGGATTTTCCCTAAAATTGATAAGCTGATCTCACAGTTTACTCAGAAGGGTAAAAGTGAAGTCTCCTATCTGCCACTGGCATGGAAACTAACTAAAAGACTTAGCTGTCCAGGAAAGTCTCTTTCAAGTAGTTAAGAATAATGAACTAGAATACCTGACAGGCACTTCCCCCCAAAGTTCCTATCACTTCCTTATCCAGTCTTCCTTGAGAACAAAACTATGTCCAGAGTAGTTCTGAATCCTTAACACCCATGGCCACCCCTATTCTGAGAGATGACAGGATCTGAACTGAGAGAAGAATAATGCTTTTCAGGACATGTGGGTGTAATCTGTTAAACAAACCTTTGTGTACTGTGAAAAATCTGATTTCTATCTCCAGTGTTTTTTTTTTTTTTTTTTTTTTTTGGCTGTGCTGGGGAGTTAAACTCACACTTGCTAGCAGGAACTCTATCACTTGAGCCACTCTGCCAGGCCTGTTTGTGTTGGCTATTTTTGAGACTGGGTCTCATTGTATGCTGAGGAAGGCCTGGACTATGACCCCTCCTATTTGTGCTTCCCTGCACCACCATACTCAGCCACTGGTAGAGATAGGGTTTTTGCCCAGGCTAGCCTCCAACCTTGATCCTCCTGATGTCCGCCTCCTCTATTGTCAGTTTTTACTGGGTAGTCTCTGACATTGCATTTCCATATTTGAGCCCACATAAAAGCCCTTATGTTTATGGATTTTCAGATTGATGAATACCTGCATATGCATAAAGAATATTTCCAATTTTTCAGCAGACCTGTTTATTTTGAATAGGTATAGTTATGAATGTACTCCCAGACTGATTTATTTTTCCATTCTAACCAAGAATTTATCATCTTTTCATACGCTGGAGTAGAGAAAACATTGCTAACACCAGTGATACTAGGCAACATTGTATTGTAGCATTTTCAGAGTACTTTTATCTCTGTATCCCATTGAACACTTACAACAATCTTGTGAAGTATTCTTAATCACATATTACAGATGAGAAAACTGAAGCCCAGGGCAGCTCAATGACACTTCTACTGTCCCACGGTATCACCTGGCAGCTTAGTTCTGTGTGTGCCAGTCCCTAAATATTCAATATTGGCTTTCTTTTGCATGGTGCAGCCTTTCAATTTTAATGTCTCCATGTTCTTATACTTAAGATGTATCTCCTGTAAGCTGCATAGAGTTGGTTTTTTAATGTGTACAATCTTGGTCCTGTAACTCTGTAATTAATGATATATTTGGATTGATATCTACTGTCATACTGTTTTTCTATTTGACTCATCTATTTTGTGCTTATCTCTTCTTTCTTGTCTATTTTTACATCAGGCAAAATTTTATATATTTTTTTTTACTCTTTTAACTTGTTAACTACATATTCTTTTACTGGCTACACTGGATAGCACAATAATGCATCCTTTACTTATAATCTAATACAACTGATTGCTTTATACCAATTCTTAAATAATACTAGGTGCTTAGAATCATTTAGCTCCATTTATTTTCCTTCCACAAGTCCCCCAGTATTCAAAATCCATTCTATGCTCTAAATTGAACAAGCACTCCCAGGCCCTTCAGAGCTATTACCCAGGTTACATTGGGGACAGCAACAAACACCTGAGCACACTCTCAGTTATGGGATCACACTACAGTGAAAGTGGCAAACCTGTATGTGACAAACCCTCCTAAGGTATGGTCATTTCTCATCTACTCCTTTTCCCACAAGACTATACTTCAGTTTTCATACCAGGAAAAAAGCATAATTCTTACCACTCAGATTTTGAAACAAGACCGGGGCACCACGGATTTCAGACTTGCGAATAAATTCAATGCCCACTTCATCACCATCAGACTCTTCAGCAGCTTCTTCCTCCTCCACCAAACTAATCTGTTCTTTAGCACTGATACCAATTTTATTTAGTCTGGGGAGACAGGTCATCTCCTTTGGCTTGTCAGTGGATGAAGCATGGGCTGCAGGGTTCAACAAGGCATCCATGTCCTCAAAGAAGGCACAGGGTTCTAGCACATGGCCATTTCTCACTTTTCGATAGCTTTTCTGAAGACTTTTGAACTTGGTCCGACACTGTTCTGGTGTTCGGAGGAAGCCACATTCTCGCAACCATTCAGCCACAGCACCATATACCTGGCTATTTCGGGGACATGCCTGGAGTGTTTCATAAAAGCGAGACTCCTTGAGGATTGCAAGAAAAGTCTTAGTTTCTTCATAGCTCCAGTGCACACCTGCTATTTTTTCATCTTCTAAACCCCACTGTTGCTGTTCTCGCCATGTTTTCCCTGCATTCCTTGCAGGAATCTGAATAACATGAACTGCCTTTTCCTTGATGTAGTTGCTTCGTAGGATATTCCTCTTATTTGAGGAATGTAGACCTATAGTCCATGGCTCCTTTCTTTGTTCCAACCGGGCTATCTTGTTAGATGTAGACACTGTATCTCCTACAGTAAGAGAAACACATTTCATGGTAGGAACAGGTGTCGTTACTCCATGCCTCAGTCTTCTGCTGTAACATGCTCTCCCGGATCACTTGTTCACACCAAAGCTTTCCTCAACCATGATAGTGCATGCACATTCTTACATGACTTCTTGGGCACAAGCTTCTACCAACAATATCATTTTACTCTCATGTATGTACTACTTCTTTTCCTAGCTAGTTCTTACAGGAATACCTTTCAAGGGTAAGAAACATTATTTTATTACTACTGATTCCTAACATTGTATAAGATTCAGAGTGTGTTCCTAAGCCATATTTGTTCCTTATGAAATAAATTGTGCTTATATTTGCACTCTACATCCCCTCCTTGTCCACCTCAACATACAGATATATATACACACTGGGGTTATGAAACAAATAGTAATCAAACAGTATGGTACTGATATAAAAACAGAGACATTGGGGGGGAGTGAGTGGTAAGGGAGGGGGTGGGGGCAGGGGGGAGAAATGAACTAAGCCTTGTATGCACATATGAATAATAAAAGAAAAATGAAAAAAAAAAAAACAGAGACAGTAGATGGAACAGAACAGACAGCTCAGAAACAAATCCATCTACATAAGGTCAACTCATCTTTCATAAGAGAGAGAAGATCATTCAATAACTGGTGTTGGGAAAGCTGGAGATCTACATATAAGAGAGAGGAATGGACTCCTTTATCTTATAAAACTTTACTCAAAATGTTTTAAAGACTAAAATGTAAGACTTGAAACTGTACAATTCCTAGAAGAAAGCCTAGGGAAAAAGCAACTTGACAGTGGTTTCGGCGTTTCTTTTTGGATGTAACAGTAAAAGGAGAGGCAAAAATAAGCAAATGAGGTTACATTAAACTAAAAAGTTTCTGCACAGCAAAAGAGTCAACAAAGTGAAAAGACAACCAATAGTATGGATGAACACATTTGCAAACCATATATCTGATAAAGGGTTAAAATCTAAAATATATAAGGAATCATACAACTCAATAGCAAAAAAAATCTGATTAAAAATGGGCAAAGGGCCTAATTAGTCAAGATATACAAATGGCCAAAAGATTCATGATAAGGTGCTCAACCTCAATAATCAACAGGAAAAAGCAAATCAAAACTACCATGAGCTATTACCCCACACCTGTCAGAATGGCTAGCAACAAAAGACAAAATGCTAGAGAGTGGATGTGGAGAAAATACAACCCTGCACCCTGTTGGTGGAAATGTAAACTGGTTCAGCCATTAAAAAATCAACTAACATATGACCCAGCTATAGCACTTTTGGGTATATACTGGAAGGAAGCCAGTATTGAGGATTGGCATTCGTGTGTTCACAACAGCCAAGACATGGAAACAACCCAAGTGTCTATCAATGGTTGAATAACAAAAATGTAAAAATAAAGAAACCTATTTATAAAATGGAGTATTATTCAGGCACAGAAAAGAAAGAAATCTTGCCATTTGAGACTCCTTGGATGACCTGAAGGGCATTATGCTAAGTGAAATAAGCCAGACAGAGAACGGAATATCATATGATTTCACCTATATGTGGAATCCAAAAAACTTGAACGCATAGAATAGTGGCTGGCAGAGGCTCTGGGATTGGGGTGATAGGGAGATGCTGGTCAAAACATATGAACTTTCAGTTATAAGATGAACAGGTTCTAGAGATCTAATGTATAACATGGTGAATGTAGTTAATAACAGTGTGCTGTATACTTGAAATTTTCTAAGAGAGTAAATCTTTTTTCATATGTGCATACAATGTTTGGGTCATTTCTCCCCCCTTCCCCCCCACCACCTCGATACCTGGCAGAAACTATTTTGCCCTTATCTCTAATTTTGTTGAAGAGAGAGTATAAGCAAGTATAGGAAGGACCAAGGGTTTTTTGCTAGTTGAGATAAGGATAGCTTACAGGAGTTGACTCACATTGATTTCCTGTGCATGTGTGTTACCTTCTAGATTAATTCTTTTTGATCTAAACTTTTCTTTAGTTCCTGGTCCCCTTCTCCTATTGGCCTCAGTTGCTTTAAGGTATCTGCTTTAGTTTCTGAAAGTAAATCTTAAGTGTTCACCCCCCACAGTTAACTACATGAAGTGATGGATGTGTTAATTAACTTAATTGCGGTAATTATCTCACAATGTATATGTAAAAATCAAGTTGCACCATCTTAATTACATACAATTTTGTTTGTCAATTATACCTCAATAAGGGTGGAAAATTTTGACAGAGGAACCTGATTTTCAAACAAACTTACAAAAGCCCACAAAAACAGATATAAGAGAAATAAAATGAAGTTTTATTTATAAAATAAAATGAGGTTGTTTTTGCTTAAGGAAGTTAAGGTTAGGGGACAGAAAAGCCTTATAACTTAGTTTGGTGGTCTGAGACACATCAAAGGTACCTTTTCCTCCAAAGATACTAAAATTCATTTCCTATTACATGAAGGGGAAAATAAAATGATTTCACATTTTAAAATTATTGGTACATTATTTTTCATAAATAGTTATTGGAAACAAAACTATTTCATTAACAAAACACAAAAAAGAACTTTCTGAGACATTTTAGTAAGGTCAGTGGGAAAGAACTATAAGAAAAGGAAGCAAATTGAGAGACTGTGACTCCTCAAAACTGAAGAGATCAATGTGTCTGAAATCTGAACTAGCTACGCTGCTTGCCTTCTTTTTTCACCAGGGGAGTTTCTTAACCTCTCTAATCCTTAGTTTCCTGAGAAACAATACCATGTAGCCAAAAAGGTGCAGGGAAAATTCAATAAATAGCCACCTGTATTGGTATCCAGTGTCCAATAGGTATGTAATACAATTTAGTGTTCTCCACAGAACATGCAAGACACTCAGAGAATTTTCATAGAGAAACAATATCAATCAAACTCTTCCTAAAGAACCTGGGGACAGAGATTTGTTTTGACATGAGAGAAGTAGGTGTGGGGAAATGCCCGCTAAGGCCTAAGCAGCAAAGCAAGTGAGGTATTTGGAGTGGGAATGATGGCAGCCGAGCATGAGCTCTGGTTAATTGCTGCTGTATGGGGTGCCTCATGGCACCTGAGCTCTGGGTTTTCCAAGATACAATGGAAATCAAGATTCACAACTAATTTTAAATTAAAACACCACGCAGTCCAAAACATATGCATAGGTCAGATTCAGTTCATGAACTATTAGGTATAATCTATAATTAAAGACTCGGCAGGAGTCTCTGGGACTAGATTTTTCCATAAGGAATTATACATAATCGGGTTAAGCTAAATCTGAATTCCCAAAGTATAGTCCCTCTCCAGAAGTGGCAGATTTTGTCAAGGACACTAATTTAGCATTTTACTAGGATGACACTTTGCAATCCAAGGAAATGGTAGGAAATATGTACTGGGTATATAATAGGCAGATGGCTGAGATGTCTACTATTGCTTGAAGAATGCTTTGTTATTTGTGTGCCATTTTTTTCAGCTGCTTTAATTGCTTTCTAATAATAGACAATTGTTGGTGTGCCTTTGTCCATTCAGTTTGCTATGGCTCATTTTATGATATCTATACTTTAGCATCTACTGGTCCAATAGAACTTTCTGTGATGATGGGTATATTCTACAACTGTGCCATCCAATATGGCTACAGAATACCTTAAATATGGCTACTGCTACTGAGACCCTAGATTTTTAATTTTACTTAATGTAATAAACTTAAACATAGACACATGTGATTGAGTGGCTACCCACCAGACAGCACAAGATTATAGTATCTATAATATATATAATTTATATCATTTAGATATAAATTGGTATTACTGAACATTTTTGGCCTATGGGTTTATTTGTAAGTAGTCTATGATTTATGAATAAAAACCCAGCTATCAATGAATCATACTTACTTCTCCTGCTAAAGCAGACAAAGACAATTTCCAAAAACTTGCTTATGGAGTGACATTTTAGTGGTAATGTGGGCCTGTAAATCTGTGCTATCAAAGTTAATGAATTTAAAATGGAATTTCTTCCATTTTTAAGGTTTCCATCCATCCAACAAATATTTAGTGGGCAACCTATCTACATGTCAGGTTGCTCTGTGTTGAGGTTACTATTGTTAAATAAAAACAAATCCAAAAAGACCTTTGATTTCATGGAGTGTTTTGTCTAGTGGGTGTGTACAGTTTGTATTTTCCATAATATAAGAAGTCATATACAATTCCTCCCTAACATTTTAATTACTAACTTACAATAATAACTTACTTTTTTCTTACTGGAAATGAGATAAGTGATTACTAACAATAACAATGGAGATCTTTTAAGCATTAACATTTGCATCTGAGGCTGGTGGAGTGGATCAAGTGGTAGAGCACATGCCTAGCAAGTCCAAGTCCCTGAGTACAACCCCCAATACTGCCAAAAGAAAAAAAATTATATTACCAAGACTTTGATTTGTAAAGGGAAGAGTCCTTACCCAGGGAGACCATGTTCCCAACACCCTTCTTCCTCATATCCCTGTAGAGGTCTGTGTGAACAGGAATCTGATGCATACTCTTTTTATAGGAAAAACCTCTTGTTGTGTGAACATCTTTCACTGGTTCCTGTAACAACACCAACACCAATGACTACCAAGATAACTGCTTGGTCTCTTTTTTGGCATATTTTTATTAGCATAAATTAATTACAAAATGGGTTTAATTATGATATTTCCATACACGCATATAGTGTACTTAGAACAAATTTACCCCATTACTCTTTCATAACCTCCCACCCCCTTTTAAAACAGTTTTTAGTGGGTTTCGCTATGCTATTTTCACATTTTATATACATATATATATGTATACACATATACATATATACACACACACATATATGGAATCTATCTTTCATTCCTTCCTTCTTTCCCTCCCTCCCTCTCTCTTTCTTCAATCATATTCACCCCCATCACCCTCTCCTTTACAATCATGTTATATTATTATTATTATTTTAAATCTACATTCCACATATGAGTAAATACATGTATTTGTCTTTTTGAGCCTGGCTTATCTCACTCAAGATAATGATCACTGCAAGGGTCTTCAAAGGATGAAAGATCACAGATGAAGCAGAGAAGACCCTAAAGAAGAATTGAAATTAAGGAGCCAAGTGTGCATTGTGTGCCAGATAAAGAAGAATATACAATAAAGAATCCTAAAGTGAGATAAGCTAAGAGAGATGATTCAGCAATATGTTCCATTCCTCAGAAGACTGGGTCCAATTTTTTCTGGAAAAGGAATTAAGTGAGAAAAAGACTCTTGGAGAGAGAATAAAATTCTGAGGACAGTGAAGGCACAGGAAATAACTATAACTGAACATCCTAAGAAGGAAGGCCAGGGAGGACAATTATAATTTACCTGGGACCCAGCAGGAAGACGTGTGATTGTCACCCCCTGATCTATGGTGTTCCATTCACCAGCAGGGGCAGGAACCCAGGGAGAAGACCGAGCTATTAAAAGAGAAGAAATAATTAGTATTCTTGGTTCTAGGCTCTAGTTCTTTAATTTATGCTGCTTCTCCTTTTAGAAATGAGCGTGTGTTAAAACAAACATAAAAATTCATTTTTTTTCAATGACTTCAGAGCAATGTCTGAAACGACACTGCTCTACAGCTGGGCTCACAAACTCAAAATGCTTTCAGGGAGTAAGCAGATAAAAAGAGAGTAAGTAGGTAATGAGACCATGGGGGAACTGGAGAGTACAAGTTCCATTTAAAGAGTACAGCCATGTGGTTCCAGCTGATGTGGCATCCATGTGAGACTGTAGCTCTGGTATAGCCAGAGCTTCTGATTATTTTCAAGAGAAGTCAAAAATCTGGACTTTTGTGACATCTCAAACCTTAAGAACTAAAAGCAAACAACAAAACCCCCAAAGAAAAATTCTCTGTCAGTAGAACAAGTCTGACTTGGTGTAAGTTACCAGTTTGCCATTTTTAGTATAAGTTAAGGCCCTGTGAATGAATATTGTCCTAGGAACTTAATAAGCAGATATACAGTAATGGTAGTATTTATAGGCAAATACTACCCCTCTCATGGAAAAGGAAGACATACAAACTTTTATATAGCAATATTTGTACTCTAACTTTTTTCCTGGAATTCACTAGGGAAAACGTCAAGAGTGACTATTGCTTGTGACCAAAAACTCAAAAGCTTGCTCCATTACTGTCTAAAAAAACCACTGAATCATTTCCCTGAAAACTCACATGCCTAAATCACAGATTTTCCTTTAGAACGAGTTTAACTTTCTAAGATACCTATCCCTCAGACTTCTGTCCTTCATTCCCCAGTCAGTATCTCAACAGAGCAAACTTTTCCACTTTTGGAGTTCAACACACTGGGTGGCAAATAGGCATTTACCAGACTAAGTTTATCAGCTAAAGTCACTGGAACCATCTAATTCACATGATCAAGGGAGTTTCCATGCTAATATAAACACACTCTGGATAATTCAGAATCCACCAGTATTTGCAATGCATCCTATCATGTATTAATTTGAAGTTGGAGAGGGGCATAAGAGCTTGATGAAAGTTTGTATGAGTTCAAATTTGAAAATAATTTTGCATCAATGGAGAAAGGTCATTTTACACTACTGCATTAAATCCACACTAGCAACCTGGTCATTTCTCTTTTACTGATGAAGGACTGGAAAAGTTTGAGAAGTAATGTGATCAAGACCACACAGATAAAAAATGGGAGAGCTGGAGTTGGAGGTATGGTTGGCAAGTGCAAGGTGCTGAGTTCAAACTCCTAGCACTTCCCTCCCCCCCAAAAAAGGAAGAGATGGGTTTTCAACTCAGGTCTGTCTGCCTCTGAAGCCTCTATGCAATAATGCTTCTTCATATTACTTGCCCAAGATCCCTCAGAGAAGGGGCAACAACAAGATATAAGTGAAAGTCTTTTGACTGTAGATCCAGTGATGGTTCCATTCCTCTCTTTGAGCCTGAGATGAATCCATGCTTTAGAAGCTGGAGAAATAACAGGACTGGGAAGGACAGAGTGGTTCATTTCCTTGTATTCACTGGATTCATTCATGTCTAGGGCAGCTATGACAGCAGTGTCCCAGCAGCTATAATCAATGATGTCTCAAATACCATTCTGGGATGTCTTAACTTGAGTCAGATTTGGAACATAAATATTTTGTTTCCCTTTCCAAGCAGTTTTTTACATTGTCTATAGCCAGGCAAGAGCACATGAACACACAGCAGAACAAAAAACCTGCAGTGATTATAAAATGGAGATTTAAAAAATAACTTACAAGATTCAAGGCTAGCTGGAGCGGTCTACATTTTTCCAGTTTCCTTCTTTAAAATCCCTTTTTACTTAGGTTGCACATGTTCCCAACTCTCAAAGTGAATAGTCTTTCTTTCCAAATATTCAATTTATTTTCAGATATGTATAGAGGGACTGATACAGAGCAAGTCCCTGTGTTAGGGATATAATATAAATCTGCCATGGTCTCTGCCCTGGGCATGCTCTGAGACCGTCTTACCATTCTTGGGTAAAGGCTGATGCTCTCTCTTTCGGTTCAGCTGTTCCTGGTGTCCTGAGTGGAGGCTTCCAGCTTCCTCCAGAGACACTACCCTGGGATGGGTCTCCACCTGCTCTGGATTTCGTAAGTCTGCCACCTCCCATAAGGCTGCAAGTGGGACCTGCTTCTCTGAGTGTACAGGACTGCTGACCTGGGAAAAGAAGTGAATACCATAATGGAAAGGGGAGGAGAGAGGCTGAAATCAGGGGTCAAATTCCTTCAAGAAAGATACTAATGAGGACAGAAGGTATGAGAAGGGATGAAAATTTCCCACTGCCAGTGGATATGAGTGAAGATGCTTGGCTCCCTGTACTGTCTGGAAGTTTGGGCATAAGGGAATAGGAGAGTACTCTACTGCTACATAGAGTAGGGGCAATCTGTCAGGAGTGAAACACAGAGCCTCTTTGTTCCTAGAATAGACATGGAATCCTCACGTCTACTAGGCTCACAGAGAAGAAAGTTACCAGAACACAAATACATTCACTAGTGAACTGAAAACTTATAAAACTGACCCACACATCGATCTGTCTATTCCTGACCAACACAGCATCCTGCTTATATTCAGATCTTCACACAGCACAAATCCCGTGTGAGGTGAAACAGCAAACCTGCCAAATGCTGCAAGATTCCATGAGGTTAATGAAGGGTGTTGAAAAACAACAAGGTGAACACTACAAAGCCACTGAGAAATGAACACCTGGCAGTTACACTGAATAACAGTCTCAAGGATGGTGGCACTAAGAGCACTTCAGAAGACACTAGCTGGAGTATTAAAGGATTAAAAGATACTTGGATACTGCTGAAGTCTTCCCCCACCCCCAGTCAAACCTTGTGAAGCATAACAGTATTGTTCTCTAATCTAATTTTGCTGGAAACTTATACCAAAGCTTAAAACAAATGTTTACGTGCATAGTATTCAGTTTCATTTGCAAGGTAATATTTCAAACAAAACTTTTCCCTTTCTATTGAATATGAAAATCACTTTGTCTTTAATTAGTACCATTTATTTTCCCAAAATAAGAATGTCTTCTTGCAATCCATCTTCCCAACTGCTTTTCTCACCCCCCTCCCTTTCTAAAATACAACAGTTTGGAAAATTCTCCTCTCACCTGCTCTCTCAGGCTTCCGGTCTCTTTCTCCAAATGGACTACCAAGGCTACCGCCTCCTCTCCGCTCTCTGGACACTGCTTCTGTGCCCAAGCCTGAATCTTCTCAGGTAAAATGGTGAGAAACTGCTCGATCACCAGCAGCTCAAGGATCTGCTCCTTGGAACGCATTTCTGGCTTCAACCACCGGCAGCAAAGTTCCCAGAGTTTACTGAACGCTTCATGGGGTCCGGTCACCTCCTCATAAGAGAATTGCCTGAAGCATTTGCGAAAGGTCTCACACTCAGTACCAGCCGATCCTTCCAAAATGGGCTCCGATGTCCACTCGGGGTCCTTTTCCACCTTCATTATTAGGCACTCCTCAACTGCCAGGGGCTGAGCGTCCAGGGCTGCAGCCATGCGCCAGCCCGGGGGTCCTCTTCACGTCTAGCTCAAAGTGGGGGCTCAAAGAAGCCTCCAAGAGCTCCCTCTCTGCTTAATGTTCTTGGAAGTGTGGGAAGGTAGGGGTGTTTAAGACCAGCGTCAGGCTGATGGATCAAATCTGTCCTAGGATTGTGATAAGATGAAAGGGTACCCCAAAGTCCCCAAATCCGGCCTGTTGATCAAACAAGATGTGACCCCGCAATGTAGATTTCTAGGGTGCATGCCTTGTAGTGTAATGTTGGAAACCGAGCGAGGCTGAAGGGCTGGGGAAGGGATGAGCGGCCCGGAGGGGGTGTGTCAGCTGCCCGGTTGGGCTCCCGGAGGCGAGGCCCCGGGTGGGTGGGGCCGGATGTGCAGGCCCCGCCCGGCTCTAGGTTCCGGGCGTGGGTCACCGCGCCGCGCCCAGGCCGCGGCAGGTGTCCGGGGTCGGCGGCGTCCGAGACCAGCGCTGGGTTGTTCCGGGCCCACGGTGGTCCCGGTTGTCCTCAGGAAACCTGAGCACGTCAAAGGCCGCAAAGTGGTTCCGCCCCAGAAGACTAAAGGGCGGCAGGATGAAGCAAGGCCTCGCGGGGTACAGGGACCAGCTCCTGGCGCTCTGCCTAGTTCGCTCGGTTCGCGGAGAGCGCGGGGCGTGCTGGGAGCGGCGGCCACGCATGCGTAGTCCGCGCGCACCGCGGGCTCCGCGCGAGGCTTTCTCGCGGGTGAGGGGCTGGGGGAAGGGGTTGCGTGCCGGATTCTCGCGAGAGTACGTAGCGCCATCACTTGCCGCCGAGGGACTTTAGGAATGAGAAGGCCTGCGAGCGGTGGGACACAGTGGGACATCAACGGTCACCCCTAGAGAAACAGTGACACAGCCCGCCAAATGGGGACTTGAGTCCCGCCTCAGGCAGCGGGACATGTGGTCGAGGCGGCGCAAAGTCCTTTCTGCGGTGGGGGGCGAGGACTCCTTTGTCTTGCGGAAGGACATCGGTCGCTGGAGATGTGCAGCAGCAAGATGGCCCTGTCGCCTTTAAACTGGCGGCGGGGGGCTGGGGGAAGAGGTGGCTTGCCACACCAGGCTCTGGCCAGCGATCAGAAGAGGTCTTTGGGACAGACTCATACGATCCCCTCCAGCCTCCTTTCTCCCGGAGGTCCCTTGAAACCACAGCCATACTTTCCCGAGCCTGCCGGTTCTTCCTTGCGTGTGCCCGGTGTTTATCCATCGCACCTCCCATGTGTCAGGCAGCACTTTACACACTTTGCATGCATCAGTGGGCAGAACAAATCCTCGTTCTAGGGGGTAGGAACCTGTTAGAAAACAGCTGGGGTGAGTTTTAGTTCTCAGGAAATTTTAGTTAAAACCTGAATGCAAATTCTAGCATCCCAAAGGCTCTGAGGACTTGGTACATCACGATGATCTGTGGAGAGGCACCGTATGTATGCCAGGGGGTGTGTCAAACTCACCAGACAGGCTTTCTTGCATTTCTTCAAAAAATAGTATTTATTGAGCACTTATATCATGCTTGGTACAGTGATAGGACCCCCTGCCATTCCTGACTTTTCAGTGGTGGGAGAGGCAGGTATTAAATAAACCACAAAGCAATGGCCAGTGGCGAGTACTACCAAGAAGAGAAACATGTTAGAGGGGTTTGTTCTAGGTAGGAGGTGCGGGAAGGTTTCTTTGAAGAAGCAGTGCTAGGAATGAGATCCAAAGGAAAGAGCTAACTAGGCTCACAGAAATCCTATAGAGCAGATATGATTACCTTCATTTTAGAGTTGAGGGCATTGGGATTCAGCAGGGCGATTTAACTGTCCAAGGTTACTGCAGGTTAACTGGTAGCCCAGGATTGGGATTTAGATAAGATTGAAGTTTTTAATAGGCTGCTTGGGCCATCTGGTGGTTTTAAGGGAGACAAGTATCACTAGCAGCTCAAGGACATTGAGGCATAGGGGTCACAAACTTGAAAACCTGCAGAGCTCAGGTAGGTAAGTGAAGTAGGCAGAGTCTAAGACCAGTAAGAGTGGTGGATACTAGTGAAACTGGAGGTCATATTTCCTGTCTGAAGAAAGCAGTCCTTAGCTCCAGTCTCTTGTTGTCACACAGAAAAATGGACTGAGCCTTTCAGATCTGGTTGTTTCAAAGAAGTTGGCAAACAACCTTTTTAGGGAAAATCATCAACTTAAATAACTGGAGAATGCATTCTTTGTCTTCCCTGCTAGAATGTTAGTTAATGACACAGGGCTTTTCTTTTTCTTTTTTTTAAAGTAAACCACTTTGTGCCAGGAGCTTAAAACACTGTCTCACACGTAGTAGGCACTCAGCCAATCTCATCTGCTGTCCATGGTGTTTGATCCCTTCCTCCCAGGCATGCATGATTTCAGTTTTTGAAGCAGTTTTACACTCAATTTCTTATTTTTCACACCAGGCTCTTTGCTGGCTGCTTATTTACTTCTGGCAGAGCTGATGCATGAAAAGCCCCTCACGGAGCACCCCAGGGGGAACACTTAGGTCTCTTCCTTTTGTACCTTTCCAACCTCTTCATATTTTCAGTTTCTCTTCATCCCAATGTGCTTGGCATCATATCTTGGTTCCTTGTACTCGTCTGTCCCATTTTATAGTTAAGCAATATTTTGTTGTTGTGTTGGTTCTGACCTAGAACTTCAGTGAATTGATCTTGCACCCTATACTCATTGTGCAACACCTGCAACTCCAGGCTGCTCCTTGTTGCTGCTTGTCAAGGAAGATGCATGGAAAGTTTTCTTTCTTTTCTGTTTTTTTTTGTAAAGAAATTGTTATCCTGAACCATCTTGCTCCAGAAGAAAGTGATCATCCCTAGACATCTGAGCATCATACCCGATCACCTGTACTTAAGAAAAACAAAATCTTAAGTTCATTGGAGAAGTTACAGTCTAGCTTTCTTAGCCTTCCACTTGGAGCAGCTTGCTTTTCTTTATTTATTGGGTGTGGGATTGTAAGATCTTTTAGAATTGCTGTTATATTTTGGTGGCCTCTAAGTATCTCATATCCATCTCACTATTTTTAGTGAGACATGTCCGTTGTATAAAAAAGTAAAACTAATTCATGTTCCTTTCCTCCAGCTTTAACAATGAGCAACTCATGGCCAACCTTGCCTTCCCTATACTTCCACAGACTCCCCTGATCCTGTTTTATTTTGAAGCAAATCCCCATCATATTGTATTAATTCTAGCTATAAGAATGTATTGCTAAAAAAGAGAATGTATTGTAGAAAGATAGGGACTCTGGTTTTTAAATACAAATTTAGTACCATCATAAACCGTTCCCAGTTTCATCAACAATTCTTTGATATCATTGTAAAAACCAACCTTGAAGGCTGATTTGCAAAGGAAAAAGTCAGAGATACCGAACAGTTAAAAAGAACAGATGTTTGCTAGTTAGGTGTTTACATTTAATTCAGCCTGGAAGTTTGTGCTACAGAGCAAAAGACCAGATAGTCCACAAAGAAGTGAGTCCATATGTAGGTCAATAAATGAAGCAGGCCATGCAACTTGGAGACATCTTGGAGCCGTAGCTATTTTCTCAAGACCTGTGTCCTCTGAGTTGATTCAAACCCAGAGGCACTCTCTTCCTGTGATCCCAAGAGCCTTGGTAGAACATCTGTTACTGCAGCTGTTACTTTACAGGCAGCCTCAGAGCGACATGGGCTTCATATCTCTGTCCATGGTGCTGATTTACCAGTCCTTTGGTCACTCACTGGAAGAACTGTAATTTGCTTTTGACCAATGGGGATTTAATGGAGGATTATGTGAAAATGGACATTAAATATGTATTAAATAGTTGCAAGAAGTGCGATCTCCACCTGTGCTAAGTTAAAAAAAAAACACCCAAATTCCAAACTGGAAAATTTTCTTGCAATCCAGTTACTTCTCATTTCTGATCCACTTAAGAGTTTAAAAATGAAGCTGGGTGTGGTGGTTCACACTTGTAATACCAGCACTCAGGAATTTAGCAGAGACTTGCAAATACCATGAACTTGCTGGGATACATAGTGATACCCTGCTCAAAAAAAGGACAAGAGAACCAAAAGTTTTGGGTATGTGTGGTAATTGTGTTGTTCTATTTCAAACCATTAGTTTTAAATATTTTCAATAGGATTTCAAGGAATAATTGAAATAAAATTTCATTTTATTAAATTTACCACTTCCTACTGATTTACTAAGAACAGTTGTATAACTGTCAGGAAAACTTAAAATATCCAGCAACTACAATAACAAAAAACCCTTCCTTCCTTTCCTTCCTTCCTTTCTCCCTCCCTCCTTCTCCCTCCCTCCCTCCCTTCATTCCTTCTTTCATATGGTGTGAGGTGGGAACTGACTCAGTCTTGTAAACATTGCTAAGCAATTCTCTGTACTGAGTTATACCCCTCAAGCTTACAAAACTCTTTCTTGATATGTATATAAACACCAATACTTCAACAATTTTTGCTTGCAATATCTAGAACCCATGCTAAGCCCTGGTGAGATTAGATAGATAAGTAAGACATAACTCTACTCAAGGTTTAACATATCACAGAAGATGGAGAAACTAGCATTTATCATACATTAAAGAATGTGGTAAGGAATGGATAAGGCCTGCGATGGCACAACAGAGTAGCCCCTTAAACTCTCAAATCATAGATTCTTAGAGGGAATCTGAAATATGTTTATAGGAGGGGAAAGAATGTTCCAAAGAGAGTACTTGCCATGGAATGATTTTGTGCAATGGTACTGAGTGTTAATCTTAGCATGGGTTGAAGGAAAGGATGGAATGGAATTGTACATACAAGTTAGAGGAAATATGTGTTCTGTAATGAAGACAATGGAAAGTAAGCTTATTGCTATGGGGAGGAAAAGGCACTTTGTCTCTGGGAGAAAGTTCTTCCCACAGAGATAGAAAGTTCTTTTCTATTTCAGTTCTAACCTAAGTAGAAACTGCTGTGGAAATAGTATACTAAAGAAAGTGCATGGAAATATATAGTAAGGTATTTCCTTAGAAAATCCATCCATTCATTGTATATAATATATATATAATATATATAATTAA